GTTGTCACTTTTTTTTTAGCAAGAAATAATGAAAATAAAGACAATAAAATAAGGATAGAATAATTCACTTGGTGAACCTGGCTCTGATACCAAATGATGCAGAACCCAAAAAATTACACAAATAATCTCAACCAAACAAACAGCTTTGAAATGAATTTATCTTTTAAATTTTAAATGTATTTGAATGTTATATGAGATAAATAAAAGGGAAATAACAGCAAGTATTTCAATTACACAAGGTAAAATTAGTTGCAGTGTGTTTTGCACAATTAAGTAAATTAGGCTAATCTCTTTTTTTTTTTTTGCTAAATGCAAAGTTGTCTTTTTTTTTTAGCAAGAAATAATGAAAATAAAGATAACAAAATAAGGATAGAATAATTTACTTGGTGAACCTGGCTCTGATACCAAATGATGCGGAACCCCAATACCCTTGCTTGAATCTTAGAACTCTTCAATTTGTTTAGAACAAAATTTAGATTACAAGTAAAAATAAATCAAAGTTGTTCAATCACCTAATTGGTAGAAGTTAAATATAACCCAAGAGAGATAAATGACATCTCTTGAAGCCAATCCAAACAAGCACCAAGAACAATTGAAATAGGAAATCAAAATTTAATACAAGTGATAACAATTGTATTCTAAATCAACACCTTGTGCATAAAGTGAAAAGAAAGCCAAAATGCTCTTAACTCAATTATGAGATATTTGATTACAACACTTGATGTCTACAAAAAAGAGTTCCTTTAGTTTTTTATAGCCAAAGAAATCAATGATAAGTTACAACACAATAACTACAATTGTAACTCTTACAATAACTGGGCTAATTATATGATAATTACAATTGTAACTCCAACAATAACTAGGCTAATTATAGGCATGTAATTGTTGTGTAACGCCTTATAACTCCAATCTTCTTAACCAACACCACTAATTGTTTGTGGCACCATATAGTTATGAGATCATTCTTATAATAACACTAAGATAAAACTTAAACCCAAATGAGTTACACTTGACTATATGGGCTTACTCAACTCAAACTAAAATAAAACAATTTAAAATACTTAAAACAACTCAACTAATCCAGCCCATACACAAGCTTATTCATCCATTACCATAGACTCAAACAAGCTAAAATTATCCCAAATTATTTAAATACAATTAAAGTTACGAATTTGGGCTGTTCAAAAAGCTCATATTTGAACTTTTCACAATTGGCCAGCCCATCATCCACATGTTTTTGAGTGAAAACTTGGAGCAAATCTTTAAGTTTCTTTGCTTTCGACTGAAACTTTTCAATTTTGGAACTTTATTTATATTCACGTCATTTGAAATTTGCTCCAAGTCACCTTTTGATACTCTTTGAGTATCTTGAGTGTTTTTAGCCTTCTTTGCATCATTTCAGATAGTTGATATAGATGAAACAACTTATGTTATTGAAATAGAAATCTTCAGAGATTGTTCTCGGGGATTGTTAGGGTTATTTAAGAAATGATATATTAACCGAGTTTTGGAGAGATTTAATATGTAGTTATGTTCAGCCAGTGTTGCACCCATTCTTAAGGGTGATAAATTAAGTAAAAGTCAGTGCCTAAGAAATGACTTAGAAAGGGAATGGATGAAGAACATTCCTTATGCATCTTCTGTGGGAAGTTTAATGTGTGTACTAGACTAGATATCAGCTATGTTGTTGGTATGTTGGGAAGATATCAAAGTGATCCAAGAATTGAACACTGGAAAGCTGTAAAGAAGGTTATGAGGTATCTTCAAGGGACAAAAGATTATATGTTCACATATAAAAGATCAGAACAATTAGAGGTGATCGGATACTCAGACTCAGATTATGGTGGTTATCGTGATAGCGTAAAGTCTGCTATAGGTTTTGTCTTTATGCTAACAAATGGAAGAATTTCATGGAAGAGTGTAAAATAGTCTACTACTGCCTCGTAGAGTTTATACTATGTTTTTGAAGCCTCAAGTCATGCTTTGTGGTCACAAAATTTGATTTCAGGACTTGGTGGTGTTGACT